TTCAAGCCTTTGCCAAAGTGAGAGGAGTAATTTTTGTTTAGGCTTGGTGACTTATCGCCATCTAGTGTATACATCAGATCGGACCCAAGAAGAAGGGAACTGAATTTTTGCTTCAAGTGTTTAACAAAACAGTACATGTGCTGCTGAATGACTGATTGTGCACAGCAAACTATAATTAGAATTCAGGCCAGAAGCATCTGTTAGCATCAAATAAAAAATATCTGACCTGGTCTCTCCAAACTAGGCTTTCTGTGATTAAATCTCATGAAATCTGACAAACTGCTGTATGTTCCTGCAAATATCCTAAATTTACACCAAATCTGAAAACAAAGATATTTCAAGTTGACTACTCATTTACAGTAGTAAATTTTAAAGGTTGGCTATTTGATATTGACAAGTAACATCAAAGAGAAAGAGGTTGCAAAAACGCCTCATAGTAATTTAGTCATATTGAACTGATTTTGGAATTCAGAACATCCACACACTGGCTTGAACTACAACAGGATTTTTTTCACTTCTTGTAGACATGTCTGTCAATACATCACAAACATCACAGTGTTTTTTATGCAGTGAAAATTATGCAGTGGTCAATTATGCAGTGGTCACTTAGAGTTCTTTTAATATAAAAACACCAGAAAAGCACACTATTTGTTGGAAATGTGATTGCCTTGATGCAGGACTGATTGTGACAGCCGAAAAAAACAACAACTGGATATTGAACAGCTCCTCAGAACTGAAAATCAACAGCTGACATCCCCAGAAGCTTCAGTTTTAACCAGGTGTCAGCGCTGAACTCTGGAGACAGTGGTAGAGACGGTGTTCACTATCCCTTTAGTATATAACTTAAGTTTTTTTTTGTTTTTGCTTAGGCATTATACTTTATTGTGCTGGGAGATACCAGGGGTTCCCATCTGTCCTGGCAAAAAACACAAACTGTCCCCCATGTCTCTGGTTTGGAAGTAGAAGGCCAGTTTGGAAGTAGGTGTTTCTGAACCATACTGAACAGAATTTATGTCCGTGCAAGCTGGTTTTGTTCATCAATTAAATAATAATTAAGTGGGGGACAATACTTAAATGACCACAATAAATATATAAATATATTGACATCAGCATCATTTGCTGAAGAGAGGAAACATACTGGGACAATCTCTTGTTCTGCTTAAAACAGTCACAGATCAGTACTGCCTTGACAATGGAAGTGAATGCATCATCTCATCTTGCAGACACCCACTGTCCGAATGTACTCTTCTTGATGGATGACGTAAGACCACATCAGATTACCCATTTTAATTGGCGCCAGGTTTTCAAGAGTTGCTAGCCTTGAGCAGTCAGTACTTTCTTTTAACCTTTGATGACCTGTGGGACCTAACTGCTCAAGTGGCTTCACAGAACAAGTGTGGAATGCAGAAACTCTCGATTACACACAGAGGCTGGGGAGCAGAACCTGTTATTGCAGCTTGTTCCCTTCACACTTACACACGATACTAAATGTGGTTTTCATTTTGGTGGTTTATGGGAGGATGATTGTCGTGTCCAGCGTGTAGTCACTCTAACATCACTGTTGTGGAATCTCTCCATTTCATGCCGATAAGTTCTAAAAGTTTAACTTTCGCATTAAACATGGACTTGCCGGAATCAATGAATGTCAATATGATAGCAAAGAGGAAAACTATCCTTACATTACAAAGAAAAGCCCGTGGACAAAGTATGAAATATTGAATTAGTATGCTTGTGTATACAGTACCTATATAACAGACTACTACACACACTGTAGATAAGAAAAGCTCATATGGCCTGGTCATGTAAAGGACTGATTTTTAGCTCTTTCTTCAATCCGTAGGTAATGTTGCCTGGCTTTCTCTAGTTGGTGGGGTGATTTGTCTTGTTAATTCTGAGGAGTTAGTGGTGGAGAAAACTAGTGGTGATCTGGATTTGTAAGAACACAAGACCAGAACAGTGAAAACAAGAATGGGTAATTAAATTAGTTAAATCAGGCGTGAAGGCAACTTCAGATGGCAGAAAAACAGTCACAGAAAGTTTGATTTTCTACTGTATTTTATCCATTACATTATCAGCTTGTATTATGCACATTGATTAATATTCTTCAGCACATTGCTGGTACGTCCTGTGTAAACCTACAAACTAAAAGATGAGATTAGGTTAATAATGTTCTTTGTATTGAACATTGCCTCTTAAATGTCCTTTCAACAAATGGGCAAGTTTAAAAATAGATTTTCCAGTTCTATCAATAACAACAACAACAA